CCCTTGCAGAGGCGGCAGCGGTGAAGCCGGGGATGACGCCGTGCCGCGCCGCTCTAACCCCCGTCCCTTCTTCTCTTCCATGGGTCGCCGCAGTCCGAGGAGCTGGGGGGAAGGCAGGAGCCCCACGTCGCCGCGCTGAGGTAAAGCGCCGGCTCGAGGCTTTGCCAGCTCCGGGTGCACCCGCTCGGGGAGGGGAAGAGCCCGGACTGGCTCCCCTGGGGAGGCGAGGGGCTGCGGGCTGGGTCTGGCACTGCTCGGCCACCTTCTGCTGAATTTACTCGATGCACGTCGTGGCCCTTAAGTCGGTTAACGATTTTCCTCTGAGCCGTGCAGTCTGATTCAGCCCTCACATATCTGTCGCTTCTGGAATGCCTACCTGTTCCCCTTAGAACTGATTTCACGCTCGCTGCTTGTTATTGTCAGCAGTGTTGTGAATATGGTGGTGTTTTCCTGACCAGCTCCTGTGTGCTCCTACGGAAATACAGTCACTGGCAGCAACAGCACCTTTAACTGTTTACATCAGTTATTATCTCTCCCGGAAGGGAGATAATAAATTAGTTTAGACTACAGTGATATGTTTTCTAGTGCTGGAGGACACTTTACCTTGTGCTTGTCTTCCCAGGCATGCCCTGTGTGAAGAATTCCGCTCGTGGCTTTCTGCAGTGACCCAGATTGAGCTGGAGCCAACTATTGACATCTCCTGTGCTAAATATGAATATACTGGTCAGTCTGTAAATGATTTTTTTCCCTGAAGCTTGTGTAGGAAACTGTATGTCTAGAGAATACCTAATTACATAACCCACCCCAATCCCTTTCTAGTTCCAGAGCGTCCCAGTAGCCATCAGCAGCAAGTCAAAGTCTCAGAAAATAAAGTTATGGAAAAAGGGTTGCTCTGGTTCCATTGCTGATGGCTTTAACTGGGTCCAGTGCTGTTGTAAGCCCCAACCTTTTCAGAGATGTTCAGCCTGTGTCTGTATGCCTGCTTCCATGCAAAAGGGTGACATGTTCAGCTTCTTCATGCTACAGTTTGTGAAGTCTGGTGCTAAAACGTCACCTTAGTAAGTCCAGGTTACAAATGCGCTTACCCTTTTATTCATGAAAAATCACTGTTGGAAGGAGAACGCTGCTCTCTGCTTTTAAAAAGTCTTTTGCACAATCAGTGGTTGATCCAGCTTTTCTGTTCCCAGGGTTCCCCCTCCCCTCTGTTCCAGCAACAGACCTACTCAAAGGGCAGTTCTGTATTTAAAAGAGTTTGAATCATTATTTAACTAAGGAATCTCTGTCCACTGTGCCCAGTGGCAGCCAGGGAGGGATAGATGATGAGTTATAACTGCCTGTACCTTCAGAATGGGCTGATCTCCCAATTGCAGTGCAGTCCCACAGAAATTAATCTTGCAGATCTTGGGCTGGTGATGCTGACGAGTGAAAATGCAGTTCTTAGAAAGGGCATGTTTCTTCTTGTATCCTTGCGGGGGTGAAGCTGGGAAGCAGCCATAGGAATGAATCAAACATGTACTGGAAAGGTGCTACTGCAGCAAAATGTGTGTAATTGCAGATGTCTTGCTGTGCCACGACGATGAGCTGGAAGGCCGGAGAATTGCTTTCATCCTGTACCTCGTCCCCCCCTGGGAGAAAAGCGACGGGGGAACGCTGGACCTGTACAGCACAGATGGTAAGAATTCCAAGCTCAGCCTGAGTTGGCTGAAAAAGATGAAGGTTCTGCACCCCTTGCAGCAACTCTCTCCTCAAACAGTAGAAGGGAGGTAAAGAGTTTCTCCTTTGTCTGGAGAAGCTGATGTATAGGTAAAATGTGCACCTTAGAGATGGGCTGTAGCAGGCTTTGCAGTCAATGCTAATGGGTGACAGCAGGCAAAGAAACATGCTTTTTTTCCATTTTTTTGGAAGGGCCAAGAGCAGAGGCAGGATGGAAGTGGTGCCAGTAACTGTGCTTGGAACTCTAAACTGATAACTTCCCTTTTCAGCCACAGAAGTCCACTGATCCCTTGCTCTGAGCTCCATCCCTTACACCCAGGCGTCTCACCAGTCGCAATGTCATGAAGTCAGAGAGAAATGGCAGTTTCTATTGAGTTCATATCTTAACCTATGTTTTCTTCCTCCTCAGAACACTTTCAGCCACAGCAAATTGTCAAGTCATTAGTGCCTTCGTGGAACACGCTGGTTTTCTTTGAAGTGTCTCCAGTCTCTTTCCACCAGGCAAGGAGCTGTCTCTTGGTCATTTTTTGATTCTCATTGTTGTGGTTATTCACTCTGTGTGTTATTACAGCCCTGATGGGAAGGGGGAGGTGGTGCAGGTAGAGTGGATACTCATGCTAGGTTCTGTGTGTTAAAGGCAGGGCTTCGAGGACTTAAAGGAGGACAAGAACTGACAAAGCCATCTTTAAACTGTCAGTCCAGCTTCATCATCCAGGGGAAAGAAAAATTTCCATTTCTATTTTGTGTTGCTGTCCTGGCAAACCACTGCTGTGGATTTGGCTGTGGTGACAGGAGAGACTTTTGTTTGTTTGCTTGTTTTAAACTAGCTCACATTTTTCATGCAGATGCTATGACTTTGTTGCAGAAGAGCTCCTCAGCACCTCACCATGCCAGGAGGACACAATGCAGATACAGCTTTACCCCCTTGGTAGCACGGATGTAGTGCAGTGCCCTGCAGTAGAAATGTTAATATAATTAAGTAGCACTTTGTAGCACTTATCAGAAAGCTGCCTGGGAACAGATGAACAGTCTGTGAAAGTGCATGGTACAAACATCTGACTGAAATCTGAAACTTCTGCTGATACCGTGGACTATTACAAACAGAGCCAAAGAGCAGAATATTGGAGAGGAAGATGTAGGTTGAGTATGTCCTCACCCAGACTGCTTAGGGTTGTATTTGTGTCATTTAATGTCTTACAGTTAATTAGCAGAAGCATCTACTTGGTCACTGCCCTAATTGTTTTCAGATAGTGATTTAATGTTGTCATAAAAATCCATGTTCCACTTAGCCTTGTGACTGTCTCCTACTGACATAAACTTAATCCCATGCATTAGCACTATTCAGAGTCCTGTGTACTGTCTGATAATGTTAATGCAGGCAATAAACTCAGCTTAAATAATGAACTTATTTTTAAAATAAGCATTAAGCTTAACTGGGAGTGCTGTGAATTAAAGCCTCCCGGATCTGGACCTCACTGGCTGTGCCCAGAGTATTTGCTGAAGCACTGAATCATTTCTTTGAGCTTTTTGTCAGTAAAGAGCAGAGCTTGCAGGTTGCTGTCAGAGGGCTGTGTAGGGGTCAGACTGAAGCCTTCACAGCATATTCCAGCCTTAAAGCCCTCTTGGACATTGGGAAAAAGCATCTAGTCAGTACTTCCTAATAGATCTTTGGGGTTTGGACTGCGTGGTGTATGCTTTGGGAGATAACAAATAAAGCTGTGGGTGTTTGCTGAGCAGAGCGGGTCTGTGACCTTTCAGTGGCAGGCATTTTTCTGGCTTCTGTTTCCCAAGTGATTTAGGATTCAGTAGCCATTCCAAATAACCTAGAATACCTCTGAGTCATGCAAGGAAAGAGCCACTACAGCTCTGTAACAATAAGAGCCCAAAATCTCTTCAGAACGGACAGTGTTTCTTCCTCCTGTGCCATCAGACTGTTCTAAAAAACAAAACAAAAAATCCCCAGCACAAAATCTTTATCAAAAAATTCATGGTTTGTGGCCAGCAACCAGTCAAGGGGATGTCTCTCTCTTCACCCTGCCTTTACAGTACAGCACCCTAGAATGTGAAATTGTTCAATTTAGCCCAGTTTACCTTAGCATGCAGTGAAGATTAAGAGGTGGCCATCACTGTGTGAAAACCAAGGGTTTCCACAGACCAGGTTAAATAGCAGGACAGAGGGTTGCTCTTTGACAAATAGGCAGACCTATAATCCAGAGCCAAGAGCATCAGGCAAGTCCTGAGTTTCCAGATGAAGCTGACAGCTAATTTTTGCAGCCTGTGATAGCTGTTTCTTCAACACAAAAATGGTAGAAAACTAAAGTATTGTTACTTTTAATAACAGAATGACTCAAAGCTCTCAGAGGGAATGGATTCTGCTAGGAGCTTGAAGTAAAAGCTTAGACTGGGATTCTGGAAACCTACAATGGACTTGAGCATCGAAATTTGCTTTAAGCCCTCTTTCTGTAAACCAGGAGTAATCCAGCCTGGTCCTAGCCCTTGCCTGACTTCTCTGTGTATGCAGTAGGTTCTCTGGAGTCAGGTCTGTCTCCTGTGACGAGTCTACATGGTGCCTGTTACAGCTGGTCTTTAAATGTTTTGTGGTCTAAACAGTAACATGCAGCTCAATGTTGCTGCAGGTGTCAGAAGTCCTGTCTGAGGAGAAGTGCCGCTTGTCGGTGAGCGGCTGGTTTCACGGCCCGTCAGTAGTCAGACCTGCACGCCACATTGAAGCTCCCTTGCCCAGGGGCCCACACATTCCCTATGATGTGAGTAACAAGCCTAGATCTGCTTATCTGCATTTCTGTTTCCTTCGTGTCCCTGGAATACCTGTTACGGGATGCACTGATGCTTGGGGATGCTTTAAATTACCTCATTCTCCTTTTTTTTGTTTCCTTTCCATAAATCCATAGCTGGTTTCTTGTGTATCCTTCTTGACTGTACATTTTGTGTACCTACAATAGTGCAGAGAATGCAGCAAATGCTCGTGGTGCAATTAAAAAGGGAATGGAGTGTGT